TGACTGTATAAAACCTGAATGTTCATCAAATGCAGCTGATGCTAAAGTCTATTTGGGTCCTTCTCTACCTGCAGAGTCATCGTTGTCACCTTGCCCTGATGCACACTTAAATAAGAATTCAGCTCCTGTGGGGCCACTGCTGGCTCCTAGAGGGAAAATTTGTCTGAACTGGCAGAGACKGTCGGCAGCTGGTGCTGGGCTGCAGAACATGGGAAACACTTGCTACGTGAATGCAGCCCTGCAGTGCCTGACATACACACCTCCCCTGGCCAACTACATGCTGTCCCAGGAGCACTGCCAACRCTGTCCTCGTCACAGGGTCTGCATGCTGTGTGTGATGCAAGCCCACGTGACACGGGCTCTCCGCCACCCTGGGGATGTCATTCGGCCCCTGCCTGCTTTGGTTGATGGCTTCCACACTTCCCGGCAAGAAGATGCCAATGAATTTCTGCTCTTTACTCTCCATGCCATGCAGAAAGCATGTCTGCGTGGGCACAAGAGGCCGGGTACTCACTCCAAGGACCCTACCCTCATGCACCAGATATTTGGAGGGTGCTGGAGATCTCAAATCAAGTGTCTCCACTGCTGTGGCGTTTCAGACACTTTTGACCCCTACCTGGACATTATGCTAGACATCACGGCAGCTCCCAGTGTGCAGCATGCACTGGAGCACTTGGTGAAGCCTGAGTGGATGGAAGGGGAGAACGCCTACCAGTGTGGTGTTTGTCAGAAGAAGAGGCCAGCCTGCAAGMCCCTGACCCTGCAGAAGGCACCAAACGTTCTTATGCTGGTATTGAAACGGTTCTCAGATCTCACAGGGGAAAAAATTGCTAAGCATGTACACTATCCTGAGTGTCTTGACATGCAGCCATACATGTCTCAGCAGGGCAGAGGCCCACTGGTGTATGCCCTCTATGCTGTGCTGGTCCATGCCAGGGTGAGTTGTCGCAGTGGACACTACTATTGTTATTTAAAAGCTGGCAATGGCCAGTGGTACAAAATGGACAATGCTAAGGTAGTGGCCTGTGACATTRCTTGTGTCCTGAGTCAGCGTGCCTATGTCCTCTTTTATGTCCAGAAGAGTGAACTTGAAACTGACAATGGGAGTGTGTCACTGGGTAGGGAAACAATAGCGTTTGGGCCTGAGGACACAATCTTGAGAGCCACYCAAGGAGAGCTCCAAGGAGACTCCTGTAGCAAAGCAGTAGAGCCAGAAGAGCACTTGGTGGATACAGCTACTGGAGAAATCACCTTGGATCAGTGGAAATTTCTCCACGAACAGAACGGACCAAAGTCTGAATTCAACCTCAGGAAAGTGGAATTCACTCTGCCTCCCAATGTTGTTGTGATTCACCAGTCAAAACACAGAGAAAAGGAGAACATAATGGATAAGCAGGAAAMATACAAGCAGAGCAAGGATACCAAGTACAGCATACGTGAGGA